CTCTTCTTCAATAGCACAGCTTTTGGAGTTGAACTGACTTTAATCAAACGGGATATATGATTGTATTTGTGTTGGTTCTTCAACCATGATCTTGATTTTCGTGTGATTAGATCTGTGGTGGCTCTTCAACCGTTTCAATCTCGATCTTGTGTGATTGTATTTGTGGTGGTTAAACCGTTCTTTTAGCAAAAAAAAAAAGAGTAAATTAATCAATACCATGTAAAGAAAATACAACATTTAACAAAAAAATAATAAGAATGATCTTAGGCGATGATATGGGTAATCACATCTCAATTGTGTATCTACCAACAAACGATACCATATACTTATGAATGATTCTGCGATGCTTGATAAGATAACAAAGATGATTTGTCTTTACTAGGAATGGATTACGTGATTATGTATTAAGCTAATATGCTCAGTTTGGTTCACTTCCCGGTCTTGTGATGTGTTTACTGAAAAAAGGAAACAAAATCAATACAAATGTAAAACATATTTATTTAATTAGGAGAGGTCTGTGTGTTTCATGAATTTGTTATATTTTGATGTCATATAATAAGATTTGTTTCAGTGATTTGATTTTCGTTTATGTTTGTTAAATGAAAGAGAATTGATTGGAGAAAAGAAAAAAAACTGAAGTTTTGTTTTTGTGTTTGTTTGAAGAAATTGTGTTTGTTTGATGAAAGAAAATTCAATAAAAAATAGTTTTTTTTAAAAGTGACAAACTTCAGTTTCTTATATGCCACATGACAGCATATCACATCTGCATTTGAAAAAAAAATTTACTTTATTAGAATAGATTTGTTATATTTTGATGTCATATAATAGTAATATTAATATTATAATCTATTTGTTTAATAATAATATGTAAAACGATTAAAAATTTAATTATTAATTAAAAGGATTTAAAAATATTATATTATTTCATCTTGAAAATAAAGATATGTTGTTCTATAATATAATATTCAAAAATATATTTACGGTGAAATTTATGACCATAAAATAAAATATTGATATTTTTTAGTCTTTTTAGATTATTCAAAAATATATTTACAGTTACCATCTTTTTATTTTGTAGTGTATGTTCGGTAGTTGATTTTTTATTGTTGACGGAGTGGACCCGTAATTTAAAAATAGAGTTTGTGGTCAGTTGGTATGGTAAGAAGAATTCTCCTGTAATATAATGCATGTAGTATATTTTCAATTAGATTTATGGTAAAACTAAAAGGTTAATTTGTTAATTGAATGCTTTATGGTGTTTGCAATGTCTGAGTAGTTAAGTATTTTTATTATTTTGGTTAAGTATAGTTATAATATTTTTGCTAATGATTTATTTTCTATTTGTTATTTGTGATGTGGTAAGTTAATATACTCTTTTGATTAATTGTGTCAGTTTTTTATGTCTTTAATTGTCAGTTTTTTATTTGGTTTTAATATCGATATTATTGACCCATAATTAATTATTTTTGATTTTTTAATTAATTATATTTAACAAAAAATGTCACAGTCAGCTTTTAACACTTTAAAAAATATTTTAAATAATACGAAGTAAGAGAATAGTGCCAAAAAGTAAAAAAAAAAGAAATAAAATAATGCGTTCTCTTATTATATTATATAAGAATTGTTTGAGTGATTTAATTTTCGTTTATGTTTGTTGGATGAAAATAATCATTTGTAGAAAAGAAAAAAAAACTGAAGCAGGGTAATGTGTTTGTTTAATGAATTTTTTTAAATAAAAATTATAGAAAAAAGACACATGTTAGTAGTTTTTTAAATGCTACGTGACAGCAAATCAAAGCTGGTTCAAATTTTTATTTTATTTTATTAGAATAGATAATAATAAAGTGATCGAACCACAAACCACTAACGTCTATTTATTTGCTTAATTATATTCAAACCCTGTTCACTTAGTTCTAGCATCTAGATGGTGTTTCTAGTGTTTCTAGCTAGTGCAAACTATATAGGTTTATAATGAAGCTCTTAAGTAAGTATCTTTTTAAAATACCTTGAAGTAAACATGTACATCTTTGCGGGTTGGGACTTGGGATTGTACTGTCGATATTACCAAAACACGGTGTTTGTAAAATTTAGGGTGTCAAAAACTAATTTTTTGCACTAACCATTAAATCACCACAATTTTGGTTAGTAAGTATATTTAGTTGGGCAAAATTCAAAAAAAGAGAGATGTATATAGTCATAGAGATTTGTACTAAACTGTGTAGTTATGAAGAAGACCAATCAATAACATACTTTTATAGCTAATGATATCTTATTGATCGTCCCATATTAAAACTAGAAAGTTTTATCGTGGAATATTTCCTATTAATCTGCTCATATGGATTTTCGCACATAAGATATGTATATATCATGCAGGTATTTGCTCATATGAATTTTCCTTAAATCAGCCTAATCATAACACATACCTTGTTTTAATACGTTTGTGGAATTTACAAATCACACAACTCAGCACAATTTTAAAATGTATTTTTGATCAAAGAGACATACTCAAATAAATTATGAACTTAATCAGAAAAAGGACGGAAAGAGATGGAGTATCTTCAATCTTTTACATTATGGAAAAGTAACATAATGAGTAGTCACAGTCATAACATGCTTTTTCTTAGACATGGGAGAATCCTTTTGGAAGGTTGGATATGTTTGTTTGGTCTTTTAGCCTTCTCTCTAGAATATATTACTTTACACATTTTCATTCATTTTCACTCACATTTCCACACTATATACATTTTTTTATATGTCAAATAAGAAAGTGGCTATTCTTTAAATATATATATATATATATTTATGATTTCATTTAAGGATAATGAATTTTCGTATTCTAACTATTTTTATCCCAAAATTCAAACATAAATTTTGAAAAATAATTACTGTAATTGCTATTTTTTTGTATCATAAAAACTATGATCCGAATAACAACGAATATGCGGGTGAAGATTAAATGTGGTGGTTCTAATAAATAGTGTTTTCATTATCAACTGCAAAAATATTATATACTTTTATAGTTGTTGAACTAGTGCTACAATATCTGATATCCATAACTCCTAAGATATAATGTAGATTTCGTAATTAATGATATTGTGTAGTCTAGAAAATCCAATGACCAAATCTTATATCTTAGAGACCGAAACTTATATATGTATACACACCTCCCTAATTTTGACTCGTTCTCTAATTTTCTTCAGGTATTTTTCTCACCCCAAACCTCATGTGCTACTGTTTACAATATATGACTTTCTATTTATTTAATTTCTACGAAATACGAATGTTCTATTGATCAACATTCACCATATATATAACTGCAAGAAATAGTTCTGTAAAGCGGGAAATAATTGTAAGGAAGAATGTAAGATATATCCTTTTGCGGTGCATGTAAGATATATGTATATATCTGATTTGATGAATTCTCTAGTAGTATATGCAAGCTTAATTTAATCAAAAGGTTTGTGGACTTAAGACTAAAATATGTACCCAGTCTACAACAGTGTTTTGCAATCATATCTCAATTTTCGTTCGCTGAGTGGGCAAACGAGAATTTGGGACGAGACTTTGTGGGAATGAAAACGGGACAGAAATATAGAAATTAAAATAATTATTTCATATATGTTCTGTTCAAAATTTGGGTCGGGACGAAAACAGGATAGGACAGGACGGGAATGTGACAAAAATTTTCAAAAAATAATTAAAACATGACAAGTTGACAATTGTAAAAAAAAAAAAAACTAAAACTCAATTTATATTCGTCCATTATTTACCTTCTAAATCCTAATAAGTAATAATAACATGTCATATAAAATTATAAGTTAACCAAAAATAAATAAAATCAAACTTAACTTAATTATTAAAATTTAAACATTTTAATTTTTGTTTAAAAGAGCAATACAAAATCCATTGAATAGTGAACACAAAACCATATATAGTCTAAAAGTAATACAGAATAAAATAAAAAGTAAAAACCAACATAACTTTCGCTTATGTAAAATATATTAATAAATAATAATTATCACTTTTGGCAATATATTTTTAAAAATATCTAATTATATATTTACATAAAAGTATTTAGTTTATATATAATTCAGGACCAATGAGATTTCGGGAATTCCCGCTTCCGTTTCGTCCCGTTCTATTTCTAAATGGAAATCAATACATTATAATATATGAGAGTATGTTTATATATGGTACGAGAATTTGAAACTGGAACTGGGAGGAACAAGATGGTACGGTACGGGACAGGAATTATGCCCACCCTAGTTGGCAACACCATCGTCACAGAGACCACCATGGGAAAATATATTCAGTGGGTCGACACTGAATTTCCCACCAATTCAGCAACTTTTCACTCAATTTTTTGAGTCGCTCATGGAAAGAACTGGTTAGTGGGGCCTTTTGCTATCTTTTTGTGTCAGAGTATGCTGATTATTCTGTAGAATGTTGAGGAGACGAAACTATGTTTACAGAGGATCCTGAAGATGAAGTTTCTGATCAACGTATCGACCATCAAGCCCCCGATCAAGAGTTACTATCGTCCATCAAGCCCCCGATCATAGCTCTTGATCAGAAACTTCGTCTTCAGTTGCTAATTAATGGTCTCACTTTATGAATATTGGTCTACCAAGCCTACCAACAACTTGTCTCAAAAAGGTGAAAGATCAGCTGGTTACTTGTAGGTCAAGGCAGGGTTATAAGTTGCTCATGGTGCTCTCTTTAACGAATTTGAACATTCATTATACGAAAATAATTACCACCAATCAACTACAATTTTGTATGACCACACTAGTCCGATTGGTTGATTAATGTTACCCTAATGATTTGTCGTGACATTTCAAACAGAGGGTCAACGATTCTTCTTATTAAAAAAATGATCAGATACACGTGTCAATGTAACTACACACGTGTCCACTTATCACGACACGTGTCGACATCAGGTCCCACCTCTCCATGGTTCTCTTGTGTTAATACCGCCAATTACGTTTTCCGGTGAAGAGATAAATGCCGCAACTCAAAAACCTCTTCTGAGTCTATCAAACGATGTCGAAGTTTACGATCCTTCTACTCTGTCTCGTTACATTATTCCTCTGCAAGAAGTCGTTTTCGGATCAAAACGACGGCGTACCGAGGTTTCAGTCGCCACTTCTGGTCAAGAGGGATCAACGGACGCCAGTCGTTGCGACGGAGTTCGGAGAGATATCAGCCGTCCAGATCGGCGATGGATACCATATTCAGTTTATAACATTGGAGCCAAACGCACTCTTGCTTCCTATTCTTCTCCATTCCGACATGGTTTTCTTCGTTCACACTGGTACATACTCTTGAATTTTACTCGAACAATCGTCTTGATACGGTCGGACCGAACCGAAATTCTCTAAACCGGGGCTGATCCAGAAAATTTGAGACAGATATGTGAACTTCTTGTTTGTTGAACAACTCTATTTTCCATCTAAAATTGAATGTAGACGCATTTTCCTGAGCATGGTTAGGGTTTAGATTTTAAGTAACGTGGTGATTGTGATTTTGGATTAACTGTGTAGGGAGTGGGATTCTGAATTGGATCGACGAGGATAAAGAGAAGACGTTAGAATTAAGACGAGGAGATGTTTTTAGGCTACGTTCCGGTACGGTCTTCTACGTACATAGCAACTTGGAGAGAGACGAAGTTCCTGAGAAACTTAGAGTTTACGCAATCTTCGATGTGGGCAAGTGTTTGAACGATCCATGTCTAGGAGCGTACTCGAGTGTTAGAGACTTGTTATTGGGATTTGACGAGAAAACTCTCCGGTCAGCTTTTGCGGTATGTGTGTGTGTGTGACTACTCGCGAGAGACGTGATTCTATATATTTAGGGTTGTTTCATTGATTACATTATTTACATATTGTGTGTATTTTATTACGACATGGAAGGTTCCTGAGGAGATTTTGGGAAGGATAAGAGATGCGGCGAAGCCTCCGTTGATCACAAATGCTATGCCGAGAAACAGAACACAAGGGTCGGAGGAAGAGGAGACGTGGCAGTCACGGCTTGTAAAACTCTTTGTAAGAGTTGAAGACGTGACTGATCATTTGGCGATGAAACCGGTTGTTAATAAAAAGAAGAAGAAATCAAAAGCCTACAATGTTTTTGAAGCTGACCCTGACTTTGAGAACGTCAATGGCAAGAGCATAGTGGTTGACAAGAAGGATATGAAGGCTTTAAAGGGTTCAAGTGTTGGAGTTTACATGGTTAATTTAACGAAGGTTAGGCCACTAAATACCACATTTGTCTTTGTTTCTTGACTTCTTGTCTTGTTCTGATGTGTGACTTAATCATTGTCTATCTAATTTCTAGGGATCAATTTTAGGACCGCACTGGAACCCTAGTGCTTGTGAGATATCGATTGTGTTACGAGGAAAAGGAATGATTCGAGTGGTTAACCATCCGTCGCCGCAAAGCAACAGCAACAGCGAGAGTGAGAGGTTCATGGTTGAGGAAGGAGATGTTTTTGTTGTGCCGCAGTTTCATCCTATGGCTCAAATGTCTTTTGAAAACAGCTCATTCGTCTTTATGGGGTTTAGCACCTCGGCGAAGCCAAACCACCCGCAGTTCCTAGTAGGGGAGAGCTCGGTTCTAAAGGTGTTTGACCGGAAGGTTCTTGCTACGTCTTTCAACGTGAGAAAGCAGACCATCAAGAGATTGTTGGGAGCTCAGAAAGAAGGAGTGATGTTGGAGTGTGTGTCTTGTGCTGAGGTGGAGCTTTCTAGGCTTGTGAAGGAGATTGAAGAGAGGAAGAGACGTGAGGAGGAAGAAATTGAGAGAAGAAGGAAAGAAGAAGAGGAAGCAAGGAGGAGAGAGGAAGAAAGGAGAAGAGAGGAAGAGGCGGCCAAGCGACAAGAAGAAGAGAGGAGGAGACGCGAGGAAGAAGAAACTGAGAGAAGAAGGAAAGAAGAAGAGGAGGCAAGAAAGAGAGAAGAAGAGAGGAAAAGAGAAGAGGAGGAGGCTAAGAAACGAGAAGAAGAGAGGAGAAAACACGAAGAGGAAGAAGAAGAGGCGAGAAAGAGAGAAGAAGAAAGGAAGAGAGAAGAGAGGAGAAAACACGAAGAGGAAGAAGAAGAGGCGAGAAAGAGAGAAGAAGAAAGGAAGAGAGAAGAGGAAATGGCTAAGAGGCAAGAGGAGGAAATGAAGAGACGTGAGAAAGAAGCAGAAGAGGCGAGAAAGAGAGAAGAAGAAAGGGAGAAAGAAGAGGAAATGGCTAAAAGACGAGAGGAAGAGAGGCAGAGGAAGGAGAAAGAAGAAGTGGAGAGAAAGAGACGTGAGGAACAAGAAAGAAAGAAACGTGAAGAGCAGAGAGAGAGTGAAGAAGAAGCAGCTAAAAGAGCAGAGGAGGAACGAAGACGACGAGAAGAAGAAGAAGAGAAGCGAAAGCCGCCGCCGCAGCCACAACCTCCGACCACTGAATAGGACTATAGGAGTCTTAAACGCTGCAGTATTGGTGAAGGTCGAAATTCTCGTTTTCATGACTTGCTTGAGTGGTTGTCTTTTTTCTTTTGTTGTATGTTTTGATTTTTTTAAATCAAGGCTGAGAAATAATCTAAAATAAAGGCTTACATTCACTATAAATGTTTAACTTGGCTTTAAAAAAATGATCCAATCTTACATATTAAGCCAACAACAAGAGTTACGGTGAAAAAGAGGTTCCAAGTTGCAATTTGATTATCGTTTTTATACGACATAACAAATCGTTTATAACGATTATAGAAGTTAAGTCGCAGTTTGTGTTAATCAACAATTCAGTTTTTTCAAGTTTTTGGAACTAAAGTCTCTCCATAGCTTGACAACTCAGTTTTTTCAAGTTACCAAAAACTGACATATCAGCAAAATTAACAACTAATCAAAACATTTTATTAATACACATCATCTACTAATTTTTATTATCTTTAACTTAAACCCATTTTATTAATACACATTATTTTTCTTTGTTAATCTTTATTTTATTTTTTGACAAATCCAAACTCAAATAATAAATAGCAGCAAAAAAAATTGTTTTAACTTTTAACCATCCCCAAATCCAAATTTTAGCAGAAAATACAATTTTTTGATTTGATGGGAAAACAAAATTTCTCGATTTTGTCATGAATAAGCAATTTTTCGGTTTTGATGGGAAAGGTAAATTTTCAGTTTCTGACATATAATGTAGTTTATCGGTTTTGGTAGGAAGACATGATTTTTGGTTTGACGAAAAAAAAATATTTTTTTGTTTTGACGGGAATAGACGATTTCACGGTTTTTGCGGAAAAATAGTTTTTTGGTTTTGACGGGAAAATATGAATTTTTGGTTTTTGCACGAAGATGAATTTTTTTGGTTTTGGTGAAAAAACTTGATTTATCTATTTTAGCGGGAAAACACAAGTTCTCGTGGAAAAATGTGTTTTTTTTTGTTTTTGCGTGGAAATGCAATTTTTTGTTTTGGTGGGAAAATAAAATTTAAGCTTTGACGAGAAATAATTTTTTTTTGGTTTTGGTGGGAATATGAGATTTCTCAGTTTCGTAGGAAAAATGAAATTTTTTTGCTTTGTTGGAAAATTCAATTTCTCGGTTTTTGTAAAAATATAAAAATTTTATGTGCTAAATTTTCAAGTTACAATATATTTGCAGTCACCAAAATTAAATTATTTAACTTCAATTAAATTAATTGATATTTCAACAGTTCAATTAGAACTTTTTATTTAGTTCTAAGGCAATAACAATAGTTTTGATATTAATGTTATTGACTATAGTTTGGTAGTTTTAGAAACATATGTTTATAATAAATATTTGTTAAATAAATGAATTTTATAATTCAAAGTAATCATATTAATTAATATTTTTTTAAAATAGTAATTTGCTTTATATAATTTCAAAAGAAAATTAAGTGGCAATTTAGTAGAGAAAATATTGTACATTTGTCATTAGTATGAAGGTACTTAAAAATATATTGTTTTATTCTTACATATATATTTATTGATAGTTAGCTAAACAAATTTGATAGTAGATTATAATTTTAAAAAATAAAAATAAATTAATATATATAATGTTTATTCAGATTTAAAACATATAAATACATAACTTAAGCTAATAAAAAATAAATATAATACTTATTTACATTATAAAAATAATTTTATCATAATACAATTTATACAAAATCTAGAAAAATATCCCGCAGCATAGCGCAGGTAAATACCTAGTCAACACAACAATAACACTAAAGTCTCTCCGTGGCTTGACACTTCAGCTTTTTTAAGCTTTATAAACATGACACTTCAGCAAAAATAATCACCAATCAAGACATTTTATTAATACACCTCATCTACTTATTTTAATTTTTAAACTTAAACACATTACAAATCCAAATATTTTTTTATTAATTTTTGTTTTATTTTTTACCAAACCCAAGTCCAAATAATTAATAACAGCAAATAAAAAATCATTATTTTATTTTTTTGTCAAATACAAACCTAAATAAAAAATAAAAACAAATAAAAAATTAAATCATTGTTTTTTTTTTGCCAAAACCAAATCCAAATAATAAATAACAACAAATAAATAACAAAAAAATTCTAGCTATCTGTTTGTTTGACATAGACGTATATGATTGAAAAAGTGTAGGCTCAACATCAATCTATGCTTACATGACAACAACGCAAAAAACCTTATGTTATAAGAAGTTCACACTTCATCAAAAATTTGAGCCGATAAAAACATAACAACTTCTTAGTTTTCACGGGAAAACACAATTATACGGAAGATAATACAATTTTTACTTTCCCGAAAAATTGTAGTTTATTTGTTTTTATAGAAAAGCGTGATTCTAGGCTTGACGAGAAAATGATTTTTTTTTTGTTTTGGCAGGAATAGACAATTTCTCAGTTTTTGCAAAAAAAAATAAATTTTTTGATTTTGGCAGGAAAATACAATTATTTTTTTGGTTTTTACAGGAAGATAAAATTTTTTGGTTTTTGTGAAAAAAACGTAATTTCTAGGCTTTGGTGGAAAAACAAAGGTTTTCGCGGGAAAATAAAATTTTAGGTTTTAAGCTTGACGAGAAAATGATTTTTTTGATTTTTGCTGTAATATGCGATTTTTCAGTTTAATAGAAAAATGAAGTTTTTTTGTTTAAGCGGGAAATGCGATTTCTCGATTTTTGTAAGAAGATAAATTTCTCTGTGCTAAATTTTCAAGTTAAAGTATGTTTACAGTAACTAAAATTTAATTATTTAACTTTAACTAAAACGATATTTTAAGAGTTCAAACATAATTTTCTATTTATTTCTAAAGCAATAGCAATGATTTTGATATGAATGTTATTGATTATAGTTTGGTAGTTTTAGAAACATATGTTAATAATAAAATATTTGATAAATAAATAAATCTTATAATTTAAAATAATCATATTAATTAATAATTTTTTTAAATGATATTTTGCTTTATATAATTACAAAGGACGATCAAATGGCAATTTATTAGAAAAAATAGATTATATTTGCCATTAACACAAAGATACTAAAAATGTATTGTTTTATTCTTATATATTTTATTTCTATATATATATTTATAATTTTGAAAAAAAATAGAAAATATATAATGTTTATTCAGATTTAAAACTGATAAATATATAACTTAAGCTAACAAGAAAATAAATATAATACTCATTTACATTATAAAAATAATTTTATTATATTAAAAATATATACAAAATTTAAAAAAATATCCCGCAGCATAGCGCAAGTAAATACCTAATAATTTCATAATTGTATTCTTACATTTCTATCGCAAAAGTATAATTCTTAGTATGTATTTTCTTTTGGTAAATCTGAAGTTTTACACAAATACCCTCAAGGTCTAGTCTATCTCTCGCTTCTGCCCTACACTTATTTCCTTACATCAACGCTCTTTTCTCTCAAAGAAACCTCAACAGAGCGATTCGTGGACATTTTGAAACACGCCGCGAGAGATGTCTGATAACGAAGAAAACGGCGCCGCCGATTATGGATTTCACTCCGGAGATGCTGCTGGACGCGGCGGCGAGATCGACGATCACCGAAACTCAAAATCCCAGGTATATATATATATATTCTCTCTGATTTGCGCATCTTCCACCTGATTTTTGCAATTGAGCTATCGATTTCTGGAGCTATTACTTTGTTTCTGGGCGTAATTTGGATTTAATTCGGAGATTTGTGTGTGAATCTTCTCTTTTTTTGGATGGGATGGTTATAAGTTCAAGATCTTTATCAATATACTTTAGGAATCAGCAAGAGCAAGAACAAACCGTGCAAAATAACCAAAGATACAGCTCTAGGTTTTGCTTTATAGAATTAGTAAACTAAAATCTGCCAATAAGAAGCCCCAAATCTCACCAAAAAGATTTTTTTTTTTTATGGTTGTAAGTTGCATTGATCTTCTAACCATAGGTTCTTTCATTACTGCTGTGTAGATGGAAATGCTTGACAATGAGAGGGATTCCTCTAGAAGTAAAGAAGGAGATAGAGTGAAGGGGCGAGATAAAGAGAGAGACAGGGACCATGAACGGAGGAGGGACAGAGAGGGAGAGAGAAGCAAAGAACGTGACAGGGAAGAGGATAGAAACAAGGATAGAGGTATGGAGAAAGAAAGGGATGGAGAAAGACATCACAGAAGCCGTCACAGGGATCGCAGTGAGGAACGAGGTGAAAGAAGAGAGCGTGTGAGGGGTGATGATGATGACCACCGTCGAAGCAGAGACCGTGACTTTGGGAGGTGAGTACTCTAGAATCTAGAACACTTCCCTAAAACCATTATCTTTTAGAAGACACTGACTTTAAACTTTTTTCCTTTTAGGCGGAGAGATTATGACAGGGACAGAGGAGATAGACGCCGTCGCCGGTCTCGTTCTCGTTCAAAGGGTAGATCGGAGCGTAGATCACGATCTCCATCGAAGAGGTAGCTTAACTTTTTCACTGGAAACTGTTCTCTAATAAATTATCTATGTTGCTTTTACAGCTGAAAATTCCATGATTAACTATGAATTTTACTTTTTTTTGAATATCAATCTACTCAATTTGCAGTAAGCGGGTCAGTGGATTCGACAAGCCACCCGCAGCTTCTGGGATGTTAGATACTGGTGCTGCTGTTACAGGTATCTCTATATTTTTAACACCTGCGCATTGATATATCTTAGAACGATGTAGAGCTCATATCCTATGCACATAGTAATTTACTAATTTTCGCAAGTGTTGTTTTTGTTGTATCAATACAAATGCTTGTAACATTATTTTACCATACGAAAGCCTTTCTTTTGCTTGTTCCTTCGTTTTCACATGTCTTTTTTTTTATTATATTTAGAGGGAGAAAATAACCAAGAAATTTAGATATAAGTTTAGGTATTCTCTCATACTCAATTAATAATAGTAAAGCTCTTTACCTTTTGTAGGTCAAGTTCCCGCTCCAAACCAAACTCTTCCAAACATGTTTGCCATGCCAACGGGACAGGTATGTTTACTTGTCCGTGCTAAAGTTGATACATGTTTCTCCAACTGATTTTTTTCTTCTTCCTTGTCATGTAGCCATTTGGAGGACTCCCTATGATGCCAATTCACGCAATGACACAGCAGGTTGGTTATATTTTCATGGATATATAGACGATACTATGACTTTGGTCTGTTCTAACATGCATTCGTTTAATGTGTCTTCAGGCTACTAGACATGCTCGCAGGGTCTATGTTGGTGGTCTTTCTCCCTTGGCAAATGAACAGGTTTAATGTTCACTACATAATTGTCTTCCCCTGTGATATTTGTCCTGCATTTGATACTGACGTTTAAATTATTCTATTGCAGTCTGTTGCAACATTTTTTAGTCACGTTATGGCTGCTGTTGGCGGAAACACTGCTGGTCCAGGTATTACATTCTTGGCGTAGGCATTGGTAGAGGTTTTGTGTGAAACGTGTTACAATCGTTTTTTCTTATAACTTTTTTTTCAGGTGATGCTGTTGTCAATGTGTACATAAACTACGAGAAGAAGTTTGCATTTGTGGAGATGCGAACTGTTCAAGAGGCGAGTAATGCAATGTCTTTGGATGGGATTATGTTTGAGGTAGGTCTTACGGTTTATCATGGTTACAATGCTTTGTAGTAGTATCAGTGTGTTCTAGATCTTGAGAATAGTAAAGATTATATCATATTTTTCTTCTTTCCCAGGGAGCTCCAGTGAAGGTGAGGAGACCGAGTGACTATAACCCATCGCTAGCTGCAACACTTGGCCCAAGCCACCCCATTCCTAATCTAAACTTGGCCGCTGTTGGTCTGACTCCAGGGGCTTCTGGTGCGCTTGAAGGTCCAGAACGTCTTTTCGTTGGTGGACTTCCCTACCAGATCCCTGAGCCACAAATCAGGGAACTGTTGGAGTCTTTGGGAGCACTGAAAGGTTTTGATCTTGTAAAAGACCGAGAAACCGGAAACTCCAAAGGATACGCATTCTGCGCCTATCAAGATCCCGCTGTTACAGACGTTGCTTGCGCTGCCCTCAACGGAATTTCAATGGGAGATAAAACGCTCACGGTGAGGCGTGCTAACCAAGGAACAACTCAAAAACCCGAACAGGAGAGTGTGTTGTTGCACGCACAGCAACAGGTTGCTTTCCAGGTAAAGAAACAAAGAGTTTACATTAGAGATTCAGGTTAAAGACTGTCTCTTTGCCGGCTATCAAACTAAAATACTTCGTTATTTCTCTCTCTTTCACAGAGGATTATGCTACAACAGGGAACAGCGGCCACCAAAGTCGTGTGCCTGACACAAGTAGTCACCGAGGAAGAGCTTAGAGATGATGAGGAGTACGAAGAAATCGTTGTGGACATGAGAGAAGAAGGCGGAAAGTTTGGTAAGAGAACTTTTCCATTGCTAAAAGCTAAGCTCACTTTGGTTTTTGAGTAATTGATATCCACGTTTGAGAATGAGTTTGAAAGAATATTGATATGTGTCTGTTTCTTTTGTTGTTGGTTTGTAAATGTCTGTTTTACAGCCTTTTGTTGTCCCACATTCTCTTCTGCTATAAAGAATCAGGCCATAACTGGAGACTGCATAACTTCCTTATCTTTATATCATCATCATCCAACTTATGTGTGTTTCTCCTTTCTCTTGTAGTGGATTTGATAATGATTTGCTCTTAAAATTGCAGGTGCGTTGACTAAAGTCGTGATCCCTCGTCCCAGCAACAACGGTGAAGCTACTCAGGGCGTTGGCAAGGTACCGTTATTGGCTTATGTGTATATAATAGCATTTTCTCTGGTTCATGCAAAAGTGGAATCTCTCCTGCTAAAACTATGATTTTTGGCGGCAGGTGTTTCTTGAATATTCCGAGACAGAGAGCTCGAGCAGGGCAAGAAACGGGATGAACGGTAGAAAATTTGGAGGGAACCAAGTGGTGGCTGTTTTTTACCCTGAAGATAAGTTTGAACAGGGAGATTATTCTCTTTAGAATGTTTTGTTATTACTTCAACTACTTTTGTGTTTTTGTTTTTGTTTAGCTTTTCTCCCTTGATCTGTTGTCTCTCCTTTGTCTGGTTGTCCCAAAGCCATAATGCTTGTAACATTTTTCCACCAAACAAAGGCTTTTTATTTTGCCTTGTTGTCCCTATTTATTAATATTAAGACATGTCACAACATATATTATTACAAGAAAAACATTAATTAATAGTCGTCTATGTTAGAGAAGAATACCAGAAACTACATTAAGGGCTTAAGATTATTTTGTTAACTAGATTGAATTTAATTAGTCGTGTCATTTCTCAGAACATTTTCAACAGCTAAATAAAATATAAAGTGCAAACTAATAATCCAAATTATGAGAAACCTCAAGTCACACTTCATGAACAATGATTAATATAGAGTGCATTGTTGATTATGAGAAGATGTTTGTTTTTTTTTCTCCTTGGGCCATTTGCTAATAGGAGATTTTAAAAGAGGTGAGTTGTTTTGTCGTTTGCTTCTGAACATTTTGCACTTTGTATGTTGTTCTTGAAATAAAACGACGTATAGCTAAATAAGTTAATATTGAGGTTGGTTTGTTGGGTATGCTCTCTCATACTTGGATGGTTATACCGGATTTTCTGATTGATTGGTTTTCTGGTTTAAAGCGCTTGCTAATGTATTCCTTCGGTTGAGTTTGACAATTAGCTTAATATAATTATCAATTTTCCAAAGTTCAGTGAAAATTCTTATTAATACAGTATATTGTATATCTTGTTATCCGGTTCTATTAGTTTGACTTTTTGAATTAGAAAGGTTTATATGGATTTCCGGTTCTATATTGTGTAATCAGTATTGCGTTTACATTTTTTTTTGAAACTACTTACCCACATCAAATGGAACGATATTGTGAAATCTCCAGTTTAATACTAATACTTACTTTTCTTAACGATTTTTTACATTTTTTTACTCCACTCATCAATTGCGCCAAACATTTTTTTTGGAAGTAAGAACTGTGACGATTTGAACTTACTTTGCACTGCTTTGAACTGTGACGATTTGAACTTACTTTGCTCTAAGTTTTGGATCCCAATAATCTTCTTCATCATGTGCGATATTCCTCTTCTTTATTTTCTGCTACATAAGCTCAAAGACCGTATGAACAACATATTCTTCTACTCAATTTTCAAATCCATAGGAGTTTTTCGCTACTATCATCTTTTCAATTGGATTGGAATTGTACTCAAAATTGAATATAATCCGTTTTTCTCTCTTTTCTTCGCCATTTTCATAATGACTTTAAATTACATTTACTATATTGATTAAAAAATCGACTTACCAAAAAGTTAACTCTTCACACTATTTTTACACCAAACATCAATGGCGTCAAACATTTTTCATTTGGCACCAAAAACAATGGCAAGCTTATTGCTTACTTTGACACTAATATCATGTTCTTCTGCTCCAAATTTTGGGAAAATCTGCCAGCAAAAAAAAGTTTCGATTCCGATCATCTTCTTCATCATCTGCGCTATTCTCTTTCTTTACATGTCACAATATATAATTTTACAAGAAATATATTCCAACTAATCATTTTTATTAAATCTTTCAATTTTATAACAAAAGTTCTTCAAACAAATTAAGAATTTTGTTTGAGGTCAGTTGAGATAAAAATAATTTAATAATCTCAAGTTCTTGATTAATAGTAGTAATACAGTTATTTTTATTTTCTAATTCCCATTGATAAGGCTAATGTTGAACCATTTTGAATAGCCAAAACTTGCAAAACCCATTTCTTTCAGCGTATTAAACCCTAAAGACATTTCCTCTAGTGACAAACACTAATTACTATCTCTCCGGTGGCGACGCTTTCAATGACGTCATCCCGTCTCTATCTCCGTTTCCTTCGCCGTTTCTCCACCGCCGCTGTAGATTCTCCAGCCGCTGCTTCTTCCGGCGCAATCACTGTCTCCAAAGCTAAGCTCAAACTCCGTAAAGTACACGATCCGGACAAGGCCCTGGCGATTTACAACTCCGTCTCCAGCAATTCCTCATCTCCCGTCTCCTCTCGCTACGCAATGGAGCTCACCGTCCGCCGCTTAGCTAAATCTCAGCGCTTCTCCGACGTCGAAGCCCTAATCGAGTCTCACAAAAGCGACCCGAAGATCAAAACAGAGACTTTTCTCTCTACGCTTATCAGATCTTACGGACGAGCCTCCATGTTCGACCACGCGATGAAGACGTTCGAGGAGATGGAACAGCTCGGCACTCCAAGAACCGTCGTTTCCTTCAACGCCTTGCTCGCTGCTTGTCTTCACTCTGATCTTTTCGAGAGAGTACCCCAACTGTTCGACGAAATTCCTCAGAGGTATAATAACATCGCTCCTGATAAAATCTCTTACGGAATGTTGATCAAGTCGTATTGTGACTCTGGTTCGCCGGAAAAGGCTATGGAGACGATGAGAGACATGGAGGCTAAAGGCGTTGAAGTCACCATCATTGCCTTCACCACCATTTTGGGATCTTTGTATAAGAACGGGCAAATCGACGCAGCGGAAAAGTTGTGGAGCGAGATGGTGAACAAAGGCTGCGAATTGGATAACACGGTTTATAACGTTAGGCTCATGAATGCCGCCAAGGAAAGCCCCGAGAGAGTTGAGGAACTGATGGAGGAAATGAGCAGTGTAGGGTTGAAACCTGATACCGTGAGCTATAACTATCTCATGACTGCGTACTGCGTGAAAAGGATGATGCGTGAGGCCAAGAAAGTGTATGAAGGGCTTGATCAGGAACATGGCTGTTGTGCGAACGCAGCCACGTTCAGGACGCTGATATTTCATCTGTGTATAAACGGGCTGTACGATCAAGGTTTGGTCGTGTTCAAGAAGAGCGCGTTGGTGCACAAGATCCCGGATTTCAAAACCTGCAAGCATTTGACTGAAGGGTTGGTGAAGAGTAATCGAATGGAAGACGCGAGAGGAGTGGCTAGGACCGTGAAGAAGAAGTTCCCTCCTCGTTTGGTAACCGAGTGGAAGAAACTGGAGGAGGCTCTGGGATTATATTCAAAAGCCAGAGCTGCTGCTTCATCTTCTTCCCAAGCAAGAGAAGTGTTGGATCAATAAAGTGAGGGTGCTGCATAAAAAGCTCTCAAGAATCTGCTTAAGAAGGTCTGGTTTTTTCTTGCTTGTGCTTGCTTGCTTGAGCTAAATTGTTGAAACTGTGATCCAGGTTGCATTTCTTTTTTCATAAATTAGCTGTAAAAGCTGCAAATCATAGTGGTTTGTTTTGATGAAGATGAGAACAGTTTATAGCTTTACGGAGTTGTAGATAGAAGTAGCAAGAAAGATTTTGTCACTGCCTATCTTTCAGTCTATGTAACTCTATGTTCAACACACACAAATGCTTTTTAAGATGAATTCAAATTTCTTTTCCACCATTAGTCTACAAATCCACAACAATTGCTTCTTTTCCCCTATTTCTGGGCTTTTAAGACGTCCTTTTGCTGAGAAAGGGCTTAATGGGCTTATAAGAAAAAGCCCATTAGTGGCGGCACTATAAATAGTCCCTTTCGTCTAAATTGAAAACAGATTTTTCTCAATCGGGATACTTTTTTTCTTTTTTTCCCGGTGACCGGAGTAAGGAAGCAAAGAGAAGTAGATGACGACTCGGATAGCTCCAGGAGTCGGAGCTAATCTTCTTGGCCAGCACTCCGCCGAGAGAAACCAAGACGCCACTGTTTACGTCGGGAATCTTGATCATCAGGTTCTTCATCCTCTCACGAACTTATATTATATGCGATTTTTGTGTTTTCTCTGTGATTTAGTTGAATATTTGGTGAAAAAATTGATCAATTCTTTAAAAATTACAGCTTTCTGAAGAATTGCTTTGGGAACTTTTCTCACAAGCCGGCCCCGTTGGTAAGTTTAAACCCTACTTTCTACACTAAGTTTAGTTTAGTTCTTCGATAAACTTGATGATTAAGCTCATATCAATCTCTCGTTTAGTTTGTTTAGTGGAACAATCATATGATAACTTGATGCCTTGTTGGTTATATTCAAGACTTATCTTGATCTGAATCGAACAAGACTCTGACATTAGCTTCTCTGTTTTCTTTTTTTGGATTTGATCAGCTAACGTCTATGTGCCGAAAGACAAGGTGACAAATCTTCGTCAAGGTTATGGATTCGTTGAATTTCGCAGTGAGGAAGATGCTGACTATGTAAAGTCTTTGTCTCTTTCACTTTCTTTGAAGAGTTTTTAACACTTTCTTTTTTGGCACATTGTTAGTTATTTAACTAATTCTTGATGTTTTTGTTCTTGCAGGCAATTAAGGTTCTTAATATGATTAAGCTCAACGGGCAGTTTATAAATGTAAAGAAGGTATCAAAACTGTATCATATCTTTCGTTTTCTAATGAATTCTCGAAATCTTGAACCCTTAGTGTGAGCTGCTAACGTTTTGTTTCCATGGTTTAATAATTATGTTAGGCGTCTCAAGATAAGAAGAGCTTAGATGTTGGTGCTAACCTTTTCATTGGAAACCTTGACCCTGTAAGTTTGAGATTTCAACTTTAACAAGCTATTTTAATATCATAGCTCTGACCAGTTTTGTACTTTACAGGATGTGGATGAGAAGCTCTTGTATGATACTTTTAGCGCATTTGGTGTGATTGTTTCTAACCCTAAGGTAGAATCTCGATTTCTTTTTCTGTAATCTATGAGTTATATGCATTAGAATCTGATTCTTCGAAACTTTTTCATTTCAGATAATGCTAGATCCTGATACAGGGAACTCACGAGGCTTCGGTTTCATCAGCTATAACTCCTTTGAGGCATCTGATGATGCCATTGAGGTAATTCTTACATATGATATAAACTTCTCCACTCAACATAATCCAATGAGAGTATATTAATCTCTGATCTTTCTTTGACCATTACAGGCAATGAACGGACAGTATCTCTGTAATCGTCAGATAACAGTCTCTTACGCATACAAGAAAGACACTAAAGGAGAGCGACACGGTACTCCAGCAGGTTAAGCTCTTTATATATACTCTTGTCTTGTTTTGACTTATTATGGATTCTATGAAACTTTCTCTCTGTTATTTGAACAACAAACACATTTTACTTTTTGTGTGAATGCAGAGAGGCTTTTGGCTGCTACAAATCCAAGTTCCAGACCCCACAAGCTATACGCAAGCGGCCCACCAACGCATCCCAATGCTCCTCAAGCTAACGGTCGACCACGTCCACAGGCCTATCAAACTCAACCACCGTCTTGGCCATCTCAGCCGTCACAACAACAACAACAACACGGCTTAGCGGTTCCACCACCACCTAGGCAACAACTCTTTCCTACTCAGGGAATGCCGCCGCCACCACCGCCACCACCGCCACAGTTTCTTCATAACCAACAAGGTTTCGGTGGTCTGAGGCCACCACCACCACCGCCACCACCTCAAGCCATGGGAATGCACCAAAACGGATGGCCGCCGCAACACATGCAGCAAGGTGGACCACCACCACCACTAGTTATGCACCACCATCATCATATGTCTATGCCTCCGCCACCACCACACCAAGGTTGATCATAATATTTTTAGTCTTGGGACCAAATTAACCGTTTGTAAACCCTTTCTTCCATAGCAAGTAATCACAAGAACTAGTTATAGATTCTAAGAAGCCTCCCCAAACTCAAGTCGTTTAGCCTTATCTGACCTTATGAACCCATAAGGATTTTACCCACATGAAAGACATATTTTTTGGTTTTCTCTATAAAACTATAAACATTTTAACCAATGGTAATAAAATTTCACAAAACATTATTAAAATGATACAAAAACTTTTTGCTTAAACCTCATTTCAACTAAACAGAGAGAGAATAATGTAAAGCATACAACTAGATTTCTCTCAGTGGTTTAAGTAGCAACACAGGAACACTAATGGGCTTTTACTTTAGGAGGTGAGTCAAGCGACATAACTTAGTATATCCTAGCGAACTTAACCTACTAAAAAGGCTTAATGGGCCATAGGCCCATTGGTGACGCGAAACCCAATTAGCGTAACCTCATTTCCTTCTTCTCCGTCCGTTCTGAGCTAGAAATGGCCATAAGTCTCGAGTTAGACTGAAACAAAATTGAAAACCTCACATTTGTCCGGCGACCGGAGTAAAGGAGACAGGGAGAAGTAGATGACGACTCGAATAGCTCCGGGAGTCGGAGCTAATCTTCTGGGCCAACACTCCGCCGAGAGGAACCAAGACGCTACTGTTTACGTCGGCGGTCTCGATCCCCAGGTTCTTCTTCTATTTTCTCTCCTTCTCACGAACCTTCAGTGTCTATCTTCTAAAACGTTTCTTCTGCAATTTTCTATGTCAGTACCAAGTTTTCCTTTGTGAGTATGTGTCCTGAAGAAAAGTAATTTAGGTTTCGGATTGATTCGGGATTTTGTACTCTTCTCTGTGATTTAGCTGGATTCAATTGGTGAAATTGATCAATTTTTTTTCTCTTTGAATTTTCAGCTTTCTGAAGAATTGCTTTGGGAATTGTTCGTACAAGCCGGTCCCGTTGGTAAGTTCCTTCTACACTTTGCTTCCATATCATTATTCTCGTTTAGTTTCTTCGATCTCGAATGGTTTTACTGGGAACTTGATGGTTATATTCAAAACTGAGATAGCTCCTCTTTGATTTTTGTGGGTTTCATCAGTTAACGTCTATGTCCCGAAAGATAGGGTGACAAATCTTCATCAAGGTTATGGATTCATTGAGTTCCGCAGCGAGGAAGATGCTGACTATGTAAAGTCTTTCTCTTTCCCTTTCTTTAAAGAGTTTTTAAACTCTTTTTTGTTGGCACAATGGTAACGTTTTCTCGATGTTTTTTCGTGCAGGCAATTAAGGTTCTTAACATGATTAAGCTCCATGGAAAGCCTATACGCGTTAACAAGGTATCATCATATTGTTCCTTTGTAAACTTTCGTTATTGAGAAACTCTCGGGATCTAGAACTCTTGTGAGTTTTGATGCAGAGTCGTGTTTAGTTCCTCTCCTAGAAGTTCCCTTAACGTTTTTGTTTCCATGGTTTAATAATGTGTTAGGCGTCTCAAGATAAGAAGAGCTTGGATGTTGGTGCTAACCTTTTCATTGGAAACCTTGACCCTGTAAGTATCTTCGTGGTAGTATTATTCTGTGATTTCAACTTTAACGAGCTATTTTAATATCATAGCTCTGACCATTTTTGTACTTTACAGGATGTGGATGAGAAGCTCTTGTATGATACTTTCAGCGCATTTGGTGTGATTGCTTCTAATCCTAAGGTAGAATCTTGATATCTCGTTAGGTTTTCAGTCCATGGTTCTTGATCTCTTATCTGTGATTTAAGATTAATATGCCATTCCTTTATAGAATCTGATGTTCGGAACTTTTCGTTACAGATAATGAGAGATCCTGATACTGGAAACTCACGAGGTTTCGGTTTCATAAGCTATGACTCCTTCGAGGCATCTGATGCTGCTATTGAGGTAATACCTTGTTTTTGCTCTTTCATGACTTATCATTTCTATGAACTTGGCTACCGGAATGAGTCTCACCATACTTCACATTAATAACTTCTCTATTCACATATCCAATGAAATGTATATTCATCTGATCGTTCTTTGGCCATTACAGGCAATGACTGGACAATATCTCTGTAATCGTCAAATAACAGTCTCTTACGCATACAAGAAAGACACTAAAGGAGAGCGACATGGTACTCCTGCAGGTGAGGCTCTCTTACTCTTCTCTTGTTATGAATGTTTCTCTCTATGAATGGAACAACAACAGCAACAAGACATTACTTTTGTGAATGCAGAGAGGCTTTTGGCTGCCACAAATCCAAGTGCTCAGAAAAGCAGACCCCATACGCTATTCGCGACCGGCCCACCAACAGCACCTCAAGCTAATGGTATACCACGTCCGTTTGCCAACGGCGGCATGCAGCCTGTTCCGATCCCGGTCCCTCGTCCAACACCACCACCGCCTCCACAACTCTACCAAACTCAGCCACCATCTTGGCCATCTCAGCCGCAACAACAGCAACAACAACACGGCTTACCTCCCCAAGGAATGCAGTTCCGTCCTCAGGGAATGCCGCCGCCTCCACCTCCACAGTTTCTTCACCACCAACAAGGTTTCGGCGGTCCAAGGCCACCACCACCACCTCAAGCCATGGGAATGCACCAACATGGGTGGCCGCCGCAACACATGCAGCAAGGTGGACCACCGCCGCCACAACACATGCAGCAAGGTGGACCACCGCCGCCACAACAACCTATGCACCACCATCATCACATGTCTATGCCTCCACCACCACCACCACAACACCAAGGCTGAGTCTTGGACCAAACCAACTATTTGTAAACCCTTTCTTTTATGACTAAGTATTTTCTCACTTAAGTTTTAGATTCTAAGTAATCTTCCATTATCCAAAACAGAAGCTACCAGAGAGAGAGAGAGAGAGGGGTAAAAAGACAATATATGTCTTAAATTTTAATGTCTTGTCTCTGATTCTCTTACAGAGAATCTCTGTTTGGAGAGAGAGAGTGAACGTGGAAATTAGTGCGCGCATGTCTGGTTTTTAATGTTCATGTTTTGTTGCAGTCTGATGCCGTGTGCTTTGATATTTACCAAAATTTTGCTGTAAAATCTTTAATTATTTACTTCTGACCCTCGAGGTTGCTTTTTACATTAAACAAGAAAAAAAAAGACGTGAGTGATTGAACAGAGGTCGCTTGCTGTTCAAGTTATGGACCCATTCTCTTTACTCACTTTACCTTCCCCATACTCCAATAGTCTCTCTGACCATTGATTGATTCAGCCTTAGCTTCAGTGTTGAAAACCCTAAAAACACTGAAGAGAGAGAGAGTGAGAGAGACACTTGTGTGTATTGTGTTGCGTGCGTGTTCTCTGAGTAGTGTAAGAGACCAAATATATTCAAATTTAATTACACTTTTGTCTCTTCTGATTTCAATCATTTGTCACTTCGTTTGCTGAGTCAAAACGGTCCGCATCGACCGTCCAAGTGTCATCTACTAAACAAAAATCGAACGTGTAATAAAAGAAAAAGCGAACATCTGTTCTTTTTCTCAAGTGTTGTTTGTATGGTTAAATAGATTGTGAAACGCACAGTTCTTGGGTTGCTTGAACCTTCATAAACAGATAAATTTACATTTAGACTCGTATTTTTAATGCTATCCACAAAATAGCATAATCCACATACAACTTTGTTATCCATAAAAAAAGAAATATGAACAAGATCAAAAAGATTTGTTTGTTTGTCGACGAATCCGAATATATAAGGCATTAGAATCTATATAATACAATATAATATGATTTCATTTGGAAAAAGGCACATAAAATGATTACAGTTTTAATCATTGCACCGACGGATAATTTACATTCACACTTGCATCGACCACTTAAATGAGAAATTTATTAATTTAGTTAGACATTATCATAAACAGAGGATTTAAACATTATTTGTTATTTAACACTCATCATAATCCGAGAGTCGAACACTGGACCTTTGACTACCGTCATTACCACCGGAGAATAAAGCAATCCAAACCTCAGAAAACGCTTTAACAATCGCGTCGTGGTGGCGTTTCGCGTTTAGCGTTAGGAAACAGCGAAGAAGCTGCTCAAGCTCAGCTACTTCAAACATATTCTTCTCTACTATCATCTCCATCATTGAACCCTTGAAATCTTCGTACGGATCCTCCGATCTCTTCACCACCGCCACTCCTTCCACCACAACCGCCGCAGCCGCCGCACAAGGCATAAACCTCTGCACGAAAGACGACAGTCTCGCCGGAGACGACGGCTGGCTTTCTTCCTCAACCAGCAACGACTTGGTTTTTCCCTTCGGAAGGTTTCTCCGTCGTCTAGTGACACGTGGCAGCTCTGAAGAGGAGTTTTCCGGCGAGAGGTTCGTAGAAGATGGTAAAAGACTCTCTCTCTCCGTCTCCTCTTCGTATTCCTCGGCGGATGAGATGCTCCCTCGCCGCCGTGCGTATCTCTCCTTCTTCCCTGAACGCCGGCGGTCATCTCCGTCGTAGATTTTCCGACGAGGCGTTTCGTATTCTCCCTCGTTGACTTGAGCAATCATGTGCCACTTCCCTTCGCTTTCCCACTGAAATGTCGGCGTTTGCGGTGGCGATAACGATGGTGATGAATTCCTCCGGGAAACATCCAACGGCGTGGAAGAGCAACGTCGCCGACTTGAGCCGCAGCCAAAAGCTGTTAACACGTGTAGTCTGAAAGAAGAACGACGACCATGTGGCACGGTGGAGACGACGGTGGAGGGATTAGCCGGTGAAGAAGGTCGTCGGGAAATTGAAGGGACAGGATTGAAAGGGAGATCGGAGGGATCTTTTAAACGGCAAGATTTAAAGGAGAGGATTCTTGATATCTTTAATTTGAAACGTTTCGTCATTTTTTTTCTTCTTATTTTCTCTTTTTTCTTGTTTGTTTGTTTGTTTCTCTTTATGTTTGTGTGGACAAGTGAAGAAGTATGGAGCATCAAATGAGAACTGTTGTGTATCTTTATATTTATAAGCTTCTTCTTATATGTATACATATAGACACAAACACATTGGTATGTCTACATGTATTCCTGTTTTATATGCATTTATTATATAAGTAAAAATATATATGCATTACCGACAAGAGATTTACTAATTTAATTATTACTAACTTGTGTAAAATTTGACCGCTGCACTTGCTATAAAAGTCATTTATCCGAATCCTAAGTCATAACATATTGTTTGCCCATACTGACCTAAAACGTGTGTAAACAATAGTATTTGTCTATTAGCTTTATATAATGGGTCTTATGACTAAATTTGCGGAAAATGATGTCAATGTGAGAGTTACACGATCCAATAAATAAAAGGGTAACACTAAATTTCCATTAATTTTTTACCAATATTGGTTTTACGCTTTTACTCGTATGGAGTTTGAATCACAAGGACGACCACCAGTATCAGATACAGTATCACACTCAAAAAGTTACCGCCCGAGAAAAAAAAACTCATTTAATTTCAAGGAGGAAGTTGTATGTCTAGTGAGACAAAAGTTCGTTCATCGTTGAAGAAGCCTCCCCTCGAAACGAACGACAAAAGGAGACAATAATCTACTCATGTCCCAAAAAGTCACATTTCTCCATTTCTTTTCTCTATTTATTTATTTCAATTTTATACTAGTAATTGTTTATAAAATCACTTTATAAAATCAAACTTAGGTTGTTTTAGGCTAGAGGAAGAACCTAAGTTTATTGATTAGTTTTGGCGCCTAAAACTTGTGTTTCATGGGCCATTTCCATGAAAACACCAAATTTGCTGTCATATTCACTCCAACTTAACTGTATATTCAATACCAAAACACCAAATTTAGTGTTTTGTGAATTGTGTTGCACTATATTTGGGGTGGCACTATTCATAATATTAAACAATATAATATTTTTTCTTTTGTTTTTGATTAAATATCATAATTTGTTTATTAGTTATTAGTTAAATATCATATAGGACTATATACGACTAAAACAATAAGTATATCATTAATAATTTTGTATTTTTTGTTTTAAATAATATAAAAATATCTTATTAATATGTAAGTTATAAAATATTTTACTTAAAATGCAAATTGATTAAATTAAAAATATATATTAAAATTTAATTAAAATATTAAAAACGGAAAATTACAAAGTTAAAATCAAACAAATATAAAAACTAAATGCAACAATATAAAATTTAAAACATATTATAATTTAAATAATAATCTAATATCTAAGATTTTTTTTGTAATTTATCGATTGTAATTTTTATGTTTAATTTATAATAAAAAATAATTAGCAAAAATATAAATTATATTATTTTAAATGTATGATTTAAATAAAATTTAAAAATAATTAATATTTATTAATATAATTATATAATATTTAAATTTAATAATATAATAATAGAAAATATTATTTTTAGTGTAAAATTTAGTGTTGTGGTTAGAGATGAAAGATAAAATAAAATACCAAAACATCAAATTTGGTGTGATTTCAACACCAAATATAGTGTTGCAGTTGGAGATAGACCATGTGCAATGATAGTATATGCTGGAAGGTATCTTATCAATATAACAATAATATAATTTACTTATATATTTAAAATTTAAAACATTAAAAGAAATCAAAATGAAAGAACCAATAATTAATAGACATGTGACAAGATATGCATAAGAACAGTTTCTAAAGTATGTTAAATAAAAAACTATTCTTATCTTCTCTCTTTCCTTTCTCTCTTTTTATAATTTTGTATTGTTAAGATATTTGCTAAAAAACCCCATTGTTCATGCTCTAAACTTGTTACAAATTTAATGACAACATCAACATCCACCTTGTTTTTCTTGTTGGAATTCGTTTTTGACAAATTCAAGCTAACTTTTCAATCAAGTTTTTGGTCAAGTCTCTTGATGGAATGGGGTTATGAAGAAGATATAATATTCGTTGTAAACATTAGTACAACACTAACGTAATGTATTCACATGTTAAAATAAAAAATCAGAGTTGGATTAAATGAGAAATAAATATTCAAATTAAGTGACTTGGAAAGATTACCTATTAATGGTGACAAAATCATCCCTCACTAGCTAGATCAAATAGCAAAAAAAAAAAGTATATTCTCATTTTTTATAAATTATAACACGTTTTTTTTGGCAACGGCAGAATTTGGCGAAACATAAAATCTGCGATATTTTTTTTTTAGCTGAATCTAATAGAACAACTAATAATTTAAATGGTAACCGAAGAATTACGAAATAACTGAAAAATATTTTAAAATAAAAAAATATAAATTAAGTGAATAAATATATATATATATATATAAATTGTCCTAATATTTTAAACAATATAAAAATACAAGAAACAAAAATTAAGAAGTAAACTAACAGTATCAAACCGAGAATCGAATAGTTATCCAAAATATCTAAAAATATAATAATATACTTAAATATATAAGTTATATTTATACTTACTATAAACAAACTAAAATTATAATTATATACTGAATATATTAGTTATGTTTAGATCGAAATAATTAAAATTCTCAAATTTATAATTATATTTGTCAAAATAAATATGTTTTTGTAAAATTTGACCAAATAATTGAAATATCCGAAAAATGAATTTTCAATCATAATTTGACAAAATTTCTAAAAAATAGCTAAATGGTAAAAAATACAATTAAATAGTTATAAGTAATCAATTAACTGAATATATATAAAAAATTATTTAATTCTTTAACTAAATAGATTGATAAAAATAAATTAGTAATATCTTCATTACGTGTATCACACTCACCAATGATCAATTTGGCAAATGTCTTGAACTTGTGAAAATTGTTTTTCTTTGCAGACATTTAATATATAACAAAAAAAAATTAGCAATCCAACACATTTTATCTTTTCTGATTTTTTTTCCTTTCTTCCACCATTCCCCAACTGCAACTGGTATATTCTCAGCTGAATTTTGACAATTCTACAATTCCTCTTTTACCGATTTGAGCCATTGTTAGGGTTTGTTATAAAAAAATGTGAGACAAGATAACTGCATTAGTTTTATGAGGGGATTAAATTTATCAAACTGCACACTACAATCATTTAATATATTAAGAAAAGCGATAGTATATCCATCAATTGTTTTTCTTCAATTATACGTGTTTTTTTTCTGCTTTCATATAGAAGATTTTTGTTGATACAATCTTAGCTATCATCATAAATTACAAATTTCACGATATTATGATACTGCTGGAGATTGTTTGTACCATAGTTGCGAATGTCCAAATATGCTTTTATTTTCCAAAGCCTACTTTTCCATACTTTATTATTGAAATTCATTATTAATCATCGTAAAATTTCTCAAATAATATAAAGTTCCTAGAAACTATTTCTCTGTGACGGCTATATAATCATTTTTGACTTGATGAAAAAGGTGGAGAGCTTCAATGCTTGGAAAGAAGCACATCATCTGAAGGCTCAAGCGGTCGAGCAAACCATTGGTTTTGGTGAGTTTTGAAGTCTTATTATGTTTCTTTCGTCTCAATTTGTCTTATAACTTTGTTCAATGCCATCTTCATCAGTTTCTGCAGGGGAAGACCCTCTCAAAGCTAGCAACATGTGGAAGATTTCAAAAGAAAATTTTAGTCATGCAATAAAACCTTTATTGGAAAAAGCAAAGAAAAAAACTGACGATCCAAAGTACGGAGCATAACCAATCCATCACGAAAACAACAACAGAAAAAAATAGTAACAATCTTTTGGTATAGCAGTTTTTAGACTAATCCAGAAACGCCAGAGCAAAATGTCAGAAATTTGACCATCGAACGTAAATGCCACCAAACTAACAAATGATATGCGTAACATGATGGTGTGTTTTTACTTTACACTAGGGTATGTTCCGCGCTATACACAGATTTGTTTTTAAATATGTATTATTTATTTAGATTATAGAAATAAATATTTAATTATTAATAATTGATTATTTAGAATTATTATTGATTATATTGAAAAGATAAAAATTTATAATATGCTTTTTTTTCACAAAAAATAGATTGTTTGTTTCATTAAAAAGTGTAAAACCAAATAAATACACAAAATTAGAAAGACAATTTTATCTTTTAGTAATTTAGTTTTAGGAAAACAAATTTATATTTAAGTTTCGATTAACATAACAACTTTCAAAAAAGTTTTAAAAATCATATATTAGCCAATAATCTTTTACTGATTTATAAGTCTTTAAAATCATAAAAGTTCTTTTCAAAACACTCACATCATTTTTTTTTTTTTTTTTTTTTAGATCGATAATTTTTTCTAAAGTCTATAAATCCTAAAATTTATTTTTAAAAGTCACAGGTCATTTTTTTACTATTCGACAACATCAGAATCAAAAATAAAAGTCTACAGCCTACAGTCCATATTAATTACAGTCCTTTTTTAATCTAAACAATTTTAAGAGACAATAAATAATTAAAAGAATTTAGCTTACATATTTGCAATCACCTAGGGATGTTTCCGTGTGTAGCGCATATTGTTTTTATATAGATATTTGATTATTATTAAGTTAAATTATTTTAACTTCAAATTAATATTTTGAATATTATATTTGATTTTTAATATCTTTTTGATATGGTTATACATCGAAAAGATTTTAATGTATTCGAAAAATATATTATGAGTTAATTTAATAATTTACCTACTTGATATATAATAAATTAACAGTTAATCTAAAACTTAATATTTGTTACTTTGTATATAAACTTACTGTTGTTCACTAACTTTTAAAGTATTATTAATTTTTTTTAAACAATATTCGATATATAATTGAACTGAACAACTATAAATTTTTTTATTTATTTAATTTTTTTGAAAAATCATTTTAAATAAAAAATA